CTCTCTCTTTCTCTTCTTATAAGGCCACCGGTTCTATCAGATTGGGACCCATATGACCTCATTTAACCTTAATTACCTCTTAAAAACCTGGTCCCCAAATATAGTCACATTGGGGTTTAGGGCTTCAACATATAAATTTGCAGGGGCAGCGGGGTGGGGGGGAACATAATTCAGTTAGTCCGTGGCAACTATATTTCTAACAATTAAGTTCTTTTCAGTACAAATGTTTTTAATACCCTTTCCCTAGAGGTATCAGTAAGTGTTTCTTGAAATGAAACTCATATGTGAATGCACCAGTTTAATATCTAAGGTCTCTAAATGGTCTTTTAATATGCTAAATTCATTACAGCGTTCTCTAATCATTGTTACTACCTCTGACACAACCCCCTTACCTAAAGAACTACATGTACAAAGATTTTATCATTTTCTTTTAAATATCCTGTTCTTTAAAGTTACCCACGGCCCAGTAAACAGTCCGGTTCATGTCATAATCAACCGTAACAGAAACAGCAATATGGGTCTACCTTGCATCATTGAGGATGTACTTTTAGGCAAACATGACTATAAAATAAATTTCTACAAAATCAATCTTATTTTCACATGAACTTCTATATAAAATAGTGTAGAAAGGAAAAAACTCTGAGTCTAAATGAAAAACTTTGGGACTGGAAATGGGGTTAGTACGCTGGCCAGCTCCATGGCCTGCTGGTGTGTATTCTCAACTCTTGTCCTGGCAGTCGCCCGTTGGGAGGTGTGGTTCTCCTAGCAGTTATTTATTAACTGGGGTCCCTTCTCTATTCTAGGCATTAGCCTCTTCCTCTAAGGCATGAGAATTTCCTTGAGGGCTGTAGTCTCTTGACTGGACATTTACAAATTCCAGGAAGATAAATATGTGAGGTGATGGATGTGTTAATTAACCAGACGGGAGGAATGTTTATGTATATCCAATCATCGCAATATATACTTTAAATATTTTACAATTTCATGTGTCAGTTGTATCTCAATAAAGCTTAAAAAGTAGAAATTCCATTAATCCATGCCTTTTCCAACCCAAATACAGCATATTAGAGGTATGGAGCTTGGTAATATCAGACAAGAGTACCCACCAGGTATGGAGGGTGGGTGTCCTAAGCTGCCTTTGCCTTGCTGCTTTTTGTTTTATAAAGTTAATTTCCAACTTTACTCGTTTTCTTAGTCTTGGATACCACAGATGAATTTTCTTTAAGAACATAACTCATGAGTTGGTCTTCGTTCAGCTAGTACAGGCCTGGTGCATAGGAAGGCCTGGTGCAACAGGTGTTTTCTGAATGCATCACACTGCAACAAGAGGAGTGTGAGACTCACTTATGTGGAAAGAAATGCTGGAGGAAGCATAGATTCCTAGCAGCTGTGATGGGGTGTGAAACAACTAAAAACCCCAGCTGGTAGTCCCAGTAGCAGGAGGAAAAGGAAGTTCCTTCTTTCTTACATCTACCACGTATTGATGTGTGACATTGGGCGATGTATTTAATTTCTCTGAGCCTCAGTTTCCTTATCTGTAACATAGGATTAAATAATACCCAGCTCACATTTGGGCTAAATAATTTCCCTACAAATACTAGTTTCCTTCCCTTCCCTCTCCTCTTTGGTGAATATTTGAGTGAACTGAGCATTGCTTAAGACATCCTATAATATAATATGCTATGATAATATATATTATATATGACATATAATAGTATATTTGATATATATTATATGTATATCTATATATGTGTGTATGTATTATGACCATTCCCTATTTTACAGTCATCTGTTATCTACAGGATGCCAACAACTATTAGTATCTGTTCTTTTTTGTGTGCTGTTTTGTATAACTCAGACAATTGGAAAGACACCTGGAACCAAGCTCCATGTGTAGCCAAAGCAAAGCAGCGCCATTTTTAGTCCTTTCAGGACCAATACGACATAGTGCTTATGTTACTCCTGCCGACCTGGGAATTCCGCCTTTAACTTGAAAGAGACTTCTGAATTCAAAGAGAAGGATGCACAATAAGGAATTAGCTCCTGGATTCTGAAAAGCCTATGTTTCAAAAAATTAATATACCACATACACAAAAAGGAGACATTTTAATGTTGCAGTGGATATTTGTGCCTTAGGATAGCTAGTGGGAATCCTCTTGACGCAGAAGGAGCACATGGTCAGTTCTGCCTCAGGTGGAGTCCCAGTCCCCTGGGACAAGCCACAGATAATGTGGGGTCTGCGTGTTGCCCCCTGTGGCTCAGAGACACAGGCGCGTGTGATGCTACCAAATGCCGCACCCTGTCTTTATACCAGAGCCTGTTGTCCATTTGGTTGGATGTTCAAATCAAGAAATCCACCTTCCTCAAGGCTGGATGTAAGGCTTGAACTAGCATCCCGGAGAAAAAAGGTCAGCACTTTGATACACAGCTGCCACGAAATGGAATTGTAATGAGCAGAAGCAAAACCTGATCTCCTTGCTCAGAAAGCAGATGTCTTTGTTCTTTCCATGTTGTAACATTTCACTAGCTCAACATCTCCCCTTTTATTCTGGTACCTCTCCTCTAAGAACTGAAGAGAGGCCATCTGTGTCTCTCTTCACTGTTTTCTCACCTAAGATGTTTGGATTTATGTGTTTTAGGAAACTCTTAGGAAAGGTGTCTTGCAGTGTCAAGGTTTGTTGTTCTGGAATTCTTCTTTAAAGGGAAAATAGTCAAATTTGACCGAATTAATCCAATTTAGCATTGTGATTGGGGAACATGTAGCTTTGGGTATGTGATAATCATATGAACCTGTTCTATCATCCTTCATGTTATTGACTCATTGCCAGTGAGGGGACTAAAGAAAAGACACAGGAGCCAGAAAGCTCTGAGAGATTTCTGAGAGTTAAATAAAAGCCCAACCACTGATGTGTGCTTTTCTCCACTTTGAGAAAATTTACTTGACTTAGGTGCTTTCTAAGAATAAGGCTTTTGTTTCTACACAGTGCTTGATGGTTAAAACTCAGATTGCAAAGGCAAAACTTGGGAAACTTTTCCTTCCGCATAAACAGATACACGTGGGCACTTCTGGGCATCATCCCAGGCTCTCCTCGAGGTTGCCGGGAGTCCACGTGTGTGTGCGTGAGCAGTACAGCATCACCTCCTGAGTGCAATCAGAGGGCAACATGGCATTTTAATGAGCTCGATCAAAGTGTTACTGTATCGAAAGGCCAAAAAAATGTAAGAAACGCTTTTTCCTTTCCTTTTCTTTTATCTGCTGCCAAAACAGAGTGGAAAAGATAAGTATTGGAGCCCCGTCCTCACTTTCCAGACTGTGCTTCTTTTGCGCTTGGCTTTTTCACTCTTTC